ACTAGCAAGAAAATGTAGTACTGTGGTCTGAAGAATCTCAGAATAGCAAATCATTTTGTGAAAAGTTGTATGTATTCATATGTTTTAATTTTATGGCCTACTTAAATTAGTAATATATGTATATATAATTTAGAAAAATGTTAATATCATAGATATATATATTTATAATTCAAAGCATAGAAATAGTCCCAACATTTTCCCTGCTTCTCATTTAATTATTCTAGCCAATCAGTCTGTTGTAAATAACTCCTATACTTCATTTTTCACTGACTTCTTTGCTTATGTGGTTGTTTCCACTTGTGACACTTGAGTATATTTGTACAATAAAATGAAATATCACACCCTCAGGTCACTTTATGAGAGTTTTATTTTGTTTTGTTTTTTGTATACTATCACATAAGATACTTTTAACTGCAAGTAACAAACAACCTAACTAGTAGTGACTTACTTAGACCACAAAGCATTTATTGTTTACTAAACATAATGCCCTGAGGAAGGAATCCCCAGGTTGGTCTGGGAGCTCAGCGATATCAACATGATCTCAGGAGGCTGAGCCAATGTTTCCGCCCAGGAGCTCTGACTCCCGTGCTTATGGTGCACTCCACTTCTCTACAATACTGAGACTGTCATTATTCTGTCTTCCTGGGAGACTCAGAGTTTCTGTGGTGATCAGGGACTTTATATCCCTCAATGCTTGGCACAAGGTAATCATTCAATAAATATTCATTAAACCCTTGAGGAAAATTTCAAATAAGAGACGAGTAGACTAAGACTATGTGAAACAAAAGGGTGCTTTGGTGCAGAATTAAATTAGAACTATTCAAGTTGATGCTGACCTCTGTGTTCTGTGGTTTTAAAATAGATTTCAGTATAACTAAAAAAAAAACATTTTAGGTCATTTATAGTCTCCCCCTCCCCCACTTCCTTGGAGGGTCTTTTGTTGGCTGATGAATGCTCTGAGTTTAAATTTGCAAGTTTAGAAGACTAGACGGAGCTAATTGCTCTGTATGAGAAAAGTTAGCTTTGTGCACCTGTGCATGCGCTGCGTGTGTGTGTGTGTGTGTGTGTGTGTGCGTGTGTGTACTACAAGGGAAGGGGGAGTTGAGCTACTCAAGGAGAGACCGAAGGGGAGATAATGTATGATTGGTGAGTTTTTGAAAAATGAAATGTTATACGCTGTGTGATGAGATACTGTAAGTTTTCGGTAAAAATATAAAAACCATTATACTAACTATGATTAGATACTGAACAACATAAGTTTGTGTCAAGAACTGCAGTGAACATGGTTGAAGTCTTATTTCAGAATTCAGAACAGTCGTCCCAAATGCTCACAGTGTTCAAAATGATTGTCTAATGTGTGTGCACATGTACATTGCGTCTGAGTTCACTGCGTTGAAAATACAAGATTTGAGAACTCCTCTGGTTGGTACCTGACCACTTTTCTATGCTAGCACCTTATAAACTGTTTGATTGATGGATACATAGTCAAGTTTTACATGGCATATTTTAAAATGAATAAATCAATTTGGGGACAAATGGAGAGCTGGAAACCAAGGTGTTCGAGCCTGATAAAATTCATCAAGTGTTCTTGCTCAAAAAGATCTCTTTCAAAAGAAATCGTAAGGCGAAATACTCAGCAGAACAGACAAAAATCTAAAGCACTAGGAATGGAATACTTAGATGATGAACAGGCAATTTGTCTGCTGTTCTTGCATTTATGTCTGCAAGGGTAAGATAGAGCATGGTGGGGTGGGGCAGGGTGGGTAATAAACAAAGATAGTTTCTTTTCTGGGAATTTTCACCTGGGTGGAGGTGGGAGGAAAAGGGAACAGAAGCGGTCTGTTTTTCCTGCAAACAGCCAGCACTTTGTAAGGTGGCACAGGACTCTCATTTCAAACTGGACGGCTACTGGCCCAAATCCAAAGAGACTGGCCAGAAATGAATCATCGTTGCAAATGCAGCATGATGCAGAGATTCACTCAAATAGCCAGAGGAGCCAAGCCCAGCTAAGGCCACCTTTAGAAATCAGGAAGCAGAGCTGGTGGTCTGGCATTGCTAGGCGTCCAAAGTGCAAATTGCCTCAAGGCTCTACTCCAGTTCTCTCTCTTCCATGGAGCACTCTCTGGCCCCTTCTGCCCACATGTGGGACTCTGAGATCTTGTAGCCCTTGGGAGTTGTCCTATACTATTTTCTTTTCTTTTTCTAATTAAAATTTATTGGGGTGATAAAGCTTAGTAAAATTACATAGGTTTAAAGTGTACAGCTCTGTAATACATCCTCTATATATCACATTGTGTGTTCACCACCCAGAGTCAGTTCTTCCATTACTGTATATTTGATGCCTTATACTATTTTATAGCTAATTACTAACAGGGTTAAATTGGTCTTGTGAATAAAATGAGGTCATGGATATGAAAATTCCTAGTACAGTATCCAGCAAGACTTCATTTATTCACTCTGCCACCCCTGGAGAGAGAGTCCTGGCCAGAACACAGAATTAATGCAAGTGGGGCCAGTAAGGAGAGATGACTCAGCCCAAACTCTCATCTGTTACAGCATGCAGGCCCTAACGAGAAATGTTCTTCACTAGATCCAGAAATTGTTGCTGCGATTGAAATAATCCAGATGCTACGAATTACAGAAAGCTGTAATGCATAAAAGTCCCTTAGTACCCAGATTTGAATATACATGTTAGTAAAAGTGGTGTGGCCTGAATGTTTGCTGGGGTATTTGAAACACTAGTTTCTGAACAATACGTATGAGTAAATAGGGTAGATTATTAACTGAATACATATTAAAGTATGAGCCTATTTATTTCAGCAAAATAAAAATATTTTAAAATTACAATCATACATACTTCTAAAAATTAACATATAACCTAAGTTAATCAAATGTAAAGTGAAGGTTCCTTCCTCCTATCCACCTCCCATTCTCACTATTAAGAGTTTGGTTAACAACCCTCCAGTGCAGACACGGAGGGGCTGGGGCTACAGAGGCAAACACAACCTAAAAGTCCCTGCCTTCATGGGGCTTACATCTAGTGGGAAGAGACAGATCATAAGCAAGCAAACAAATAAATAACTAAAAGCAAGCCTGGGAAGTTTGCTGTATATATGGAAGTGGGATCCAAATGATGAAAAACAATCAGCCTTGAGCCCTATGGGAAGAGCCTTCTAGGTTGACTGAATGGCAGGTGCCAAGGTCCATGGGAAACAAAAGGGACTGCTATGACTGGCACTTTGTGTGTCAAAGTGAGAGTTCCAGGATGGGGACAGGAGGCAGATCATGTGTGCACAACTTCATAGGAAGTTCAATTTCATGCTAAAGACAATGAGAGGCCACTAAAGGTTCTTAATTGCAAGGGGGTTGGGGAGAGGATCTGATTTTCATTTTTGAAAGACTGACGTAGTGGGGGCAAGAGGGGAAGTCTGCAGACAGATTGGAAGAGATTCATTCACACGTACACACAAACATACAGAGTTTAAGTATATATATATAGATATAGATTTTTTTCCCTGCAACTTGTTACTGCTGTACATTTTTACAACTACTCTTTGAAATTATGTTCAGAGTCAGTTTACTGTCTGTCTTAGAAAATCAAACATCTTATTTTTTTCCTTTCCCTATCCACCCAAATGTAGTAACTTAGCTGGAAAAAGCAGGTTTGGCCTTTTAACATGACTCCAGAATGTGTTAATCAGATTTGACTCTACTTTTGGATTGCTCCAAAAACCAGTCTCCTTCTGAAAGCAACAATGCTGTTCAACAAAGTCAGTGACTACTGATGTGATGACTTTTGAGTCGCACCATTAAAATATGTATACAGCCTGCCAAGGTGATTACTTTGAAATGAAAAACAATTATTTGAAGTTATGTTCGTTTATTCACCAAATAATTATTGAGCACCAACCATTAAGTACCAGGCACAGTTTTAGGCACTGGGATACATTAGTGAACAAGCAAAAAAAAAAAAAAATCTCTGTCTCTGCTGGGCTTACATTCTAGTAAAGGGAGATGAACTAAACAAACAAACAAATAAACAAAATAAGTAAGCTCTGTATTATGGTAGAAGATGATATAAAAGCAAGGTAAGAGATTTGGAAAGCTGGATGGGGTTCCAATTTTTTAAAATGTTGTCAGGTTGGGCCTCACAGAGAAGGTGATTTTGGGTAGACTAGAAAGGGGGAATTGGTAAGTAATATAGATGTTAAGAGGATGAACATTCAAATAGAGGGAATAGCCAGTTCCCTCAAAGTTCCTGAGGCAGGAAAGTGCCTGGCAAGGTTGAGGAACAGTGAGGTGACTAATGGTTAGGTGAGTAAAGGAGAGAGTTGTGGAACATGAGGTCCTAGAGGTCAGGAGATGGAAGGGAACCTCTAGCCATGGAAAGAATTTTGGCGTTAACAACGAGAGGGATGAGCCAAGGCAGAGAAGTGACATGATATGAATATTTTTAAAGAATTACTCTGACCACTGTGATATAAATAGACTATAAAGGAATGAGTGGAAGTTTTGATGTGTTTTAGAGAACAACGCTTGATAATCACATTCTCTTAATTGTGGTAAAAGAGGGGGAAATAGCCAAAGCAAGGCATTAAAAAAAATTCTAGATTGTATCTTTCCTCTTTATCTTTCCTAACCATAGCCAAGTACTGTCAAGCCCAGCTCCTTTAGCCCTGTGCTAAATGTGTCCTTAGGCTGTTTTCAGGCTGTGGCCAAATTCTTTATCTTGTCCTATATATCAGTCAGGATCTTCTTGGCTGCAAGTAACTGAATACCTGACCCACAGTGACTCAAGCAGTAGGCTATTTACTAGCTTACATGTGAACAGTCCAGTCTGGAGGTATACAGAGCCAAGGAAGTTTAATGTAGCCCTCAGGGACGTCTGGGTTCTGGGTTGCCTTTCCTGGTTTTTATTTTTACTTTTATTTATTTGTTTATTTATGTATTTATGTATGTATGTATTTATTTTTTTTATTGCTTTTCTTTCATTGTTTTAGGATGTGCCACCACAGCTCCAAATGTTTCATGCTCACTGGAGGATGGCCAAGGTAGGAAGTAAGGAAAAGGCTTCTTATGGGCTTTCAGGGATAAAACTCTTCCCCTGAAATGCCCGCCAGCCACCCACTTCCCATCATGTGCTCAGAATTAGGTCACCTGCTCAGCTCCTAAACCAGACATTGATAAAGAAATCAACAACCTACCAAGACAGGTATAGACCAGTGGTTCTCAAAGTGTAATCTGCGGAACCATGGAGGGGAATCCCCAAGAACATCTCAGGGAGTCTGCAAAGTCAAAACTGTTTTTATTATAATACTAAAATGTTATTTTTTCCCTCCCATTGTCGTAGGAACATACAACTTTCTAAAGGCTGAGACAGTGCAACAGACTGGAGTGCACCAGATAGGAAAATCCAATTATCTTCCATTACGCCAGACGTTGAAGATATTTGCACATTTTAAGAGTAATACCACGCTTTACTTTTTTTGAAAAACATTGTTATTTCCATTAAAATGTGCTATTTAAGATGTAATTTTTATTCTTATTTATTATTCTTCAAATACATATTTTTAAATTTCTCAGTTTTAATTTCTAGTATCATAAATAGCCATAATTAATATGAGGATATTTGTTTATGAGGATAAACAAAAGCTCTTTGGGGCCCTCAAGTTTTAGGAATGGAAACTGGGTCCTAAGATCAAAACACTAAAAACTGCTGATTTATTCAGATTGGTCTGATTCATCCTTGGAGCTGGAGGCGGGGCCAAATTTCCAGAGCTCATCTCAGCCTGAACCAAACTGTCTCAAAATCCGACTCTGTAAGTGGTTAGGTCACAACAGGGTATTCTAGATGCTGTTTATTAAATTGATCTCAACTCCTCTAGCTAATCCGAGAGCGAGCTCTTGCTTTTAAACGATGAGGAAGTGAAATGGTCAAAATGAAGCCTTAGGTATTATTTAAAAAAACAAAACAAAACAAACCTGTCACATTGTTTCCTCTTAAGATGGGAAGAAGTGTGGGATTTTGGGGGGTGGACAGTTGAAATTTCAAAACTCCTCTAGGGAGCAGGGATATCCCTGCCCCCCCCCTCCCATCAGTACTCTGGATTAGGGAGTAACGTAATCATTGGTAATAATTGCTTTCTTTCCTCCCCACCAGCCCTGCGCTAAGAGCCTGTTTACAATGGTTGGCCCTAACGGGTTATTTGACTGTCATTCATTTAAGCTCAACGGCATCCATTCGGGCCTCCTGATCCTTTGGGCCAAAGGCAAAGCAGAGGATTTCGTTGGACTCTGAAGTTGTCACCATGGCATGCTCATTTTCTCGCCTTGATCTTTCATCCAGGATTGGGGATGTGTGTGTGTGTGTGTAAATTGGGAGGAAGGCACTACTCCCTCCCTTGTTATTCATTGTTAATGTTTATTCTGTCTCATACTATTTGTGGTATTTTGGTTTCAAACTGCTCTCAGGAGCCACCTTAAAACACCAAACCTGTTTTCTCCTCTTGAGTAAATCCCTTGGCTTCACACATCAAAAACATAAATAAATCATTAAAGTACATCTTTGTGTTTGTAACAGTAACTACTCATATGCTTGCGATTTCACCATCTGATCTCTTTCCTTTCTCCGGCCTCTTTTCTTCCCTGGAGAATTTTAGGCTGACATGGAACTGGGGAGGAGCCGGCCTGACCCCGGCTACGGTGCAGCAGGCATACAATTTCTTTTCACATATTTTGCAGGGTGGGTGTGGGGACATTTTTAAATAAACTACTCGTTCATTAGTGCCATTTCTTAGTCTTCCCGCTGTCTTCCGCTTAGGTCGTTTTCTTTGCCCTAATTTTACGTGTAACCTTCCCCCGGTTGGGTCGTTTGCATCCACGATTCCCGATGCTGGAACCTCCCTTCCCCTGAGCCTGACCTAATTCTGGGTGCCGGCTGTTTGGTTTACTTCTCCACTTTTGCAAGCGCACGTGGCTCTTCAGGGAGCTTCACTTTTGCTCCTAGGGTGGGTGTTGGGGTTCACTGGAGTTCGGAACACGTGCTTTAATGCAGCCAGGACTCCCTTCCCCCCACGGAGTCCGAGGCCCCGAGCTCTGCAGGCGTGAGGAGGGGCGGGGAGCAGAGCCCGGCCGGGTGAATCACAGGGCGTAACAGGTGCCGCAGCCGCAGCTGCGCCCGCATCTTGCCGGGCTCCAGGGATAAGGTTTTCTTTTTCTCCAGGGTTTTTTTTTTTTTTTTTTTGGAGGTGGATAGGACTCCGGAGGACCCCCACCGAACCAATGCAGGCCGCGGTTGTTCATCGCCTAGCAACTGGCGGAGCCAATGGGAGGCGGCCGGGCCTGGGCGCGGGGGCGGGGTGGGAACCTTGCGAACCTGTAGAGGCGGGGAGGCGGCCACGAGAGGCGGAGCGGAGCCCGGGCGGGGGCGGAGAAGGCGGGAGCCGTGGGCGGAGGCGGGGCCGCCGGCCCGGGGCGCAGCGTGGAGCCGTGCCTGTGCCGGCCCTCCGGGCTGAGCGAGCTTGTCTTGGACGCCTAGTGGTGCCCGCCCGCCGCTCCCGGGAACCGTGACGGTGAGAGCCTGGCCCCGCGGCGGGGATTGTGACGCGCCCACCCCATAGAGGCGACGGCGCCGGCGGGTGGTGGACGCCAGCGAAGCGCGGGAGGGCAGGCGCGGAGGTGGGCGCCGGCACCTAGCTCGGCGCGGCCGTTGAGGCCGTTGGTGGAGGCGGGCAAGCGTTTACCATCTCCCGCCCCGGCGGTGCCGGGAGGAGGAGGAGGTGGGAGGTAGGTGCCAGCTCGAGGAGCACTCCTGCTGGTGATCGCAGTGCTGTGCCCTCCGGAGGGCTTCGGCCCGGCGAGCCCCAAACCCTCTCCAGGATGGAGAGAGGGTGGCTGGCGCCTAGCGTGGGGTGACGAGCGAGGCGGGGACGTGGGGGTGGAGGAGATGGCCAATTTGGGGCTGCGGTGTCTCAGCAGAGGCTGCGGGGTGTGCGGGCTTCGGGATTTGTTAGCTGGAGCCGCAAGAGGCAGTCGTTAGAATGAATTACTGGGTGGCCCATGGCCGCTGCAGCGGAAGAGAATCCCGGTGATAGTTAAATGTCTAGGGGAAGAACTTACATCATCTAAGAGGCAGGCGTGTGTGAGAATATTTTGGTGCAGAATTTTATAGTAATGTACAGTCAACTACGTAAATTATGAGCTCCCTGTCCGCTTTTGAGCCTATGCTGATCGTCCAGTTATACAAGTCACTTGGACCCACGACATGGAATCTGCTAAATAATTTCTCAGGATGTGTACTATGAGAATCTTTAGATTATTGCCCCATTTCAGGGTCCGTAGTTATGACTGCCAAATTATTACTTGCAACACTGATACTGTTCTTGTTGAATCTGAGCGAATTGAGATTTCCCTTTTCTGGACCCCATAATGGGCTGAGGATTAGAAGAGGCACTCCTCCGAGGGTGGCTCACAAGTGTATGAGAGGGGACTTCCTGGAATTTGAAATTGCTGGGCTCCCCTAACAGTTCAGACTGGAGTCTAGGCCTAGAAATGGCTGTGAGTGATGGGTGCCTGGGAGCCCTTCATGACTCAGGAGGTATTGTACTGTTTAGGTAGAAGAAAATTCTGGCAGCCTTGATCCTGACCCGGAAAGGTAGGTATGACTTAACACATTTAGGAGATTGAACAAAATTGGAAAAGAATGAGCGATCCGAAGAGAGAAAAAAAATGTCTTTAAAGTTTAGGTCAAGCCATCTTGACATTTAGAAGTTAGAGGTAGATGTATGAACTTGGATTCTGTCAGCAAAACTTAAACCGCAAGCCTAGGAAGCTTAGGTTATTCATTCAAACTAAACAAGTAAATGCTAATAACTAATTTGACACTTCTGCCTGCTGTCAGGGAAAGTTTCTCAAAATGATTCTTTGAAAAGAGGATGAAGGAACTGATAGTTAAAATGAAGGCTCCTTTTAGTGACTTGCTGGATCTTTTCAGCCAAGTAATTTTATACCTTTCCTTTCCTTCTCTTTCCTCTTGTGTACAATGAAGATAATAAAACCCTAGGATTAAGTAACATGAGTGAGGCAGCTTGAAGATAACTGAATGGACTTAGTTATTCTAAGATGACATGTGAAGATCTCATAACACATTGATTGTGCCTTGTGACAAGACTTAATATGTTCCAAAGCATAATATGTTCCAAACCTGCTGAGGTGGTATATGAGAAAACTAAAACGTTAACTGTTCAGATGATTTGCCAAAGGCCTCAAGGCCAACACAAAATTAGGTTATATTCTTGGCCCACCCAAAAACCTGATAAAGCTGCTCTTTGACAAAGCTGGCTATGACACAGGTTTTATAAAAGGAGACATTTGAGTGTCTTCTATGTAATATGCATCTAGAGATGAAAAGATGAAAAAGATGCTGCCCCAGAATTGTGTGATTTTAATTCATTTCACATGCTTAAATTGGAGCAATTCCAAAGCTTTTTAAGTGATGTTTTTCCATATCATGTACCAGTAGTTGTGACTATGCCTTACTGGTTTGACCAGATCACAGAGAGGTTTTGGTACTCTGTGGGTCTGTTTTGTGTCTGGTGATGGTGATCATGATTAACTGGTAATGAAGGTACAAGTTATCTTGAATTCACGAATTTATAGGTTGAGATAGAATAGAGTGCATAAAGTAAGTACATCATTATTGATAATGGAAGACTACCTAAAATCTTTACTTTTGATAGTGGGTCAATATTATATAGTACCAGCAGACTTACTGCATTATGTTCTAATAATTTATTCTTGCAGTAAATATTTATTAAACACTTATTACTAAGCCTCTATTTGCCAGATCTGAAGATAAAAATGATGAGTGTTGTCTTGTGGAGTTTGTTTTAGGAAATTTACAGTATAAGAAGGGAAAGAGCAAAAATAGAAAATAAAAATTGCAAATAAGAGAAGGCTTTAGAAAAGAGAATTTCAGCTGTATCCTGACGGAGGACGGGGTAGGAGGAGACAGCAGCAGCGTTCACCTGGTGAACACATATTGGCATGTTCTATACAATGTACTGTTTGCGAGAGTGCAGGTGGCTTGGTAGTTACGCCAGGTGGGGTGGGTTAGTGATAAGGTTGGAGAATATGGCTATGACCTTTGACCAGTAGGTGATGGGGAATCTTTAAAAGGTTTTATTCAGGGGAATTTTATTTTATTTTATTTGTACTTTAGAAGAGTATTTCTCCCCAAATCAGTAATTTGAGTGCTCCAAAAGTATTCTGAACATGGATAAACCAAGTATTTGAGAGATAGCAGCCCTACAACAGCAATTAAAACTTTAAAAATATTTTAGTGAAGCCCTAGAAACTTTAGAAAAGTACAAATGATTATTCATATAACTTTTACTGAGTATCTTTTTTGGTTTTCTATTTTTTTATTGATGTGTAATTGACATTAGTTTCAGGTGTATAACATGA